CTTTACCTGCTTTACAACTATTGTAGATTAAGTTACAAAACAAGGATTGAAACTATACACCAAGTATGCAAGACAAAACATAACAACGATTCGTTGCATCTAATCAGAAAGCATCACCATAATTTGGTGGTCAAGTTCCAAAACTTTTCCTGCAAATGAGCAACCCAAGCAGTAAATCATCTCAACAGAAACTATGTAGTCCTTTTATCAGTGTGACTATTTACAACTATAACTCTTCGGCAATACGGGCAGTCCCCTCGAATTCGAACCCAGGGACCCAAGCAGACAGCATGGAATCTATGCGCACAAGGCAAGTTTATCAGCTCATCTCCATCCATGAAGCTCTCCAGGCAGATACTACAATCTCGGGATGCTCTTACAACCAACCCATCGACATCCATTTCTGAGCTGCTGAAAAGCTCAGGGTTCAGACAATCAAGGACCTCTTGAGTGAGACCCGGAGGCTTCTTGTTCGCTTCTTGCAAGAGTTGCTGCCTGTCAACTTGGGAGCCCAAGTTAGTGGAAGGATAGGCACCGGTTGACCGACCAGTCAAAATTTCAGTACCCCAATCCCTTACATCAAAGGGACTTGATTCATCACCATGCACTAGCCCACTTCCGTAAACGTTCAATGCTCTACGATGCCTAAATAAAGCCAAACAGAACAAGGTAATTTCATCAGAGTCAATACTAAGAGGCAGGTTTTTTAAATTTAGGCCAGGATTTTGCTATCATCTCTACATGGGTGTTTAACCAGTTGATGGATACTGAGTTACACGCCAAACAATAGATCATAATGCTCGGCTTAGACAGGGGCTGACAATCGTCAATTGGTTAATTGGTGTGCATCGCACAACCAATTAACCTAAACCCAATTGGTAACTGGTGGAGAGTTCTCATAATTTTATATATTGAGATCATGCAATGCTCAGAATATCTAAGCATGGTAAAATTCCACAGCAAGAATCATTGTGAAGTCTAGTCTTAATCTCCAAATTAACTTAAGTGTTGCCAAATAAATGGGCAATAATTTGCAGCCAGCATCCAAATTTCAGCTCCTAAGTACATGTATAATCCAATAGAATTGCTAATATGCTATTGTAATTGCTAAACAAGAAACAAAGCTAGCTAATTTCCTCAAAAGAAGTACAATTTGGAGGCATTAACATGCAGAGCAGCAGAAACTGACCTGGTTTGTGAAGGAGGCATCCCTCTCAGCCTCTCAAGAAGCCTTTCCCTAGCGAGCAAAACAGACCCAGGAAGCCTCTCGTTCCCGCTCAACCCGGGACTGCTTGCACCGACACCATTTCCCGAACCCG